CAGCAGCAACAAGAGCAGCTTCGCCAGTTCTGGGTTTATTCTCGGGATAGGGACATGGCCTTAAAAAAATCTTTTCAGCGAAACTTTTCTAAGCCTATGGCCACTTTCCCCGACTTCCCAGAGCAATTGCTCCAGCGTTCCCAGGCCTTTGATGATGCCGCCGAGGATTCAGCCCCCGAAGTTGATAATGGCACCACTAGTGGTGCTAAGCAGGGTGAGCCACCAATTGCTGAAGCCCCCGATGTAGCAGCCCCTTCATCGTCTCGAGGAAAGAAAAAGGGTAAAGGAGCAGCCACTGAACCGCCACCAAGGCGACGCTCACTGCGCAACCCACTAAATTGGAAGTGGAGAGAATGACGCACACTTGAGGGAGTTTTCTTTTACTTACACTCTATACAAAAAAAAAATTTATATAATCTCTTGTTTATAGTGGGTTATTTTTGTGTTTTGTGCAGTGAGGACACTGCCCCCTTCTAAGTTTGGGGGGGTGTTTTCTATTTTTAGGATTTTGTGTTTTCATTTTTATTTGTTTTTGTTTCTTTTTGTGTTGGCTGTTTGTTGTTACTGTTTAGAACTTGCAATTTTTTCTATTATTTTAGTTTAGTGTTCTCTGATTTTGTTGGTTTAGTGGTTAGCCTCAGGATGCTTAATGATGATATAGTTGTTTGAACGTCTTGAAAATTTTGGGATTTATTGGCATGAATGACTCATTACGGATGTTTATTGTGGACTAATTTCCAAGAAAGACTCATTCCCCATTTATAACACTTTGAACTGTGGATAGTAATTTGAGAAGAACTTAGGAAATTCTAAACTTTGGGAGGCTTAAGGTTTTAGATCTGGTTTAAAGAATCCCTTGAGGCAACAGTTAGGAAGCCAAGCAGTTTGGAGGAGCTAGAATTGGGTAGAAAGAATTCAGTTTGGGGGAGTATAAAAATAAAATAAAATAAAATAAAATAAAACGAGTTAAAGGCAGAATTTAAAGTTGAAACACTCCTCTGTTTTGAGCTGCTGAGTAACCAGGAGTAACATGTGCCCCATGTGTACTTTTGCGTAAAAAGGTGGTTTAAATCATGAGTTTTGCTATGGCAGCTCTGAAGCATAACCTTGTTGAGTAACCGGGTGCCTTCATCACCAATGTTGCCATTCGCGTCAAAAGATAAGAGTTAAAAAAAATAAAAAAAAAATAAAAAAAAAATAGAGAAAGAGAAGAAAGAGAATAAACCCTCCCCCTAGACTACCCAATTTCTGGTGAATTCTAAGTAATTGGTAACTTTGCAAAGCGGAGAGGGATTTGATGAGCCAGCCTATGAAACCGCAAGCTAGGTGATATGATCTCAGTTTATTAGGACCTAGGGGATTCAAGAGTTGTTAATCACAGTTTCTACACGCGCACTTAGGGGAGGATCAATTTCTGGGAAAAGGTCTAAGATGAATTGAACTAGAGAGTCATGAATGTTGATATTGAACAAAGGTTTAGGATGGAAAAGCAGCTTTGAAGGCTGAGGGTTGACCACATTCGCAGCAGAAACCAGATTTTTAG